TTTACTGTAAATGGTGAGAAGCAGAAGTTTCCATGTCCATTAGCAAAGGACCCAGATGTCTCCTGGGGCTGCAGTGGCCTGTTGCCATGGAGAGGACAGGCAATAGCCCTGTCTGTCCAGTGCGGGCTCAGGAGCCCTGGGCACGTGACATCCTGCCAGAGGGAAGCCAGCGTGGGACCGTCAGGGCCGCGTGGAAGAGCATCACAGGCTGCTGCCAGTCCTCAAAAGAACGTTACCGCTCGTGCCTGACAGATATCTCGATAAGCTGCAAAGTGTCCCAAACTCACGTCTGTTGGCGGCTACACCAGGGGCTGGCTCTGTGGCCCCCACTGTGAGATGGGGAGCTTGCAGGGGCTCTTGAGATCTTCCACATATTAAAGTGTTATTCTGTGAACATGGGTTTGCCACACATGGGCAGAACAACAACTCGGCCACCATTCCCACCGAACAGCCCAGCGGAGCGTGGGCCTGGCCATGTCCATCTCACGCCAGGCCTCTGGCTGCAGGAGGCCTGTAAGGCAGGTCCCTCGCAGCCCCAATAATGCTGGGGCTGCAGAACAGGCCAGCAGCAAAAGTTATCTCGTGTCCCTGAGGACAGAGAGGCAGGCTTGGACCGACACCAGGGGAGCTCAGGGTAAGACCACAGATGCTTGGCCCAAACCCAGCTGCTCCACTTAGCAGAAGGTGTCCCTCTGGTTTCCAGAAGATAAAAACTCAGATGCCCAGATGGGACTCCAGTCTCCCGGGCTCCTTGGCTCCTGGGGTGTCTCCAGTCCAGGGCAGGGTAAGTGTGAGGAGCACAGGCTCCGGCCTTGCCTGCACATGGTTGCGAGGTCTCTCTGCAGCAGGTGGACGTGTCTTGCGAGTCCAGAGAATGTCTCAGAGTCCCCACATCTGGTCAGGTTGCGGGTCACCAGATACTACCCACCAGCCAGGCCTGTCCTAGGCATCAGGCTTTAAATCCAGGTGCCCCCTGTCATGAGGTGAATAATAAGGCCAAACTGGGGCCTGCTCAGATGTTGGTCGACATCATGCATTTGACATTAGTGGCGGGCAGCAAACCCATCCGGGAACGTGCCCAGCCCGGCACTGCCCCCTGGTGGGGCGCAGAGGGGTAGACTGGAACTAGGTTTCCTGAGACGCAGGACCAGCTGCTCTCTGCTCAGTGACAACTCAGGGCGGCCCTTAGGTGGCGCAGCGGGTTACAGCACAGCACTGAGAAGAGAAAGCCCCTGCAGCATGAGTTCCATCCCCGAGGCAGGCCTCTCCTGACCGCCTGCTGCTCCCCTCAGCAGTGTATTTCAGTACATCTGCCTGTTCTGCTCCCCGCTCTGTCTCTGGTGAAGCCTCTTACTTCCACAACTCTGGCCTCCCAGTTCTGTATAAATAAATAAAGCATTAAAAAAAATGCACCTCCCATTGACAGGCTACTGTGGCGACCTTCTCAGCAGAGAAAATAAACATGTGCAGTGGCCCGCCGCTCTCCTGCGGAAAGCCACCGCCCTCGAGTGAGGGTGTGAACTCTGGGCTTCAGGGGAAGGAGGCTGAGAAAGCTGCTCGGTCTCGACCCGATGCCTTCCCTAGTGCCTAGGGAATGACACGTCGGAGCCAGAGAATACCAGGAGCCAGATGTAAAAAGTAACAGATCTGACCTCATGGAAATCACACCCTGGAAATCACACCCTGGGTAGAAAACAAGACGACGACAGTTGGAAGACACATTCAAAAGAAACCCGTGGCAAGGGGAGGCAGCCCAGGCAAGTGGGCAGAGGGTTTTGTTAGAGAAAAAGGAACCTGGGAGACATCGGCGTCCCGGAGACCACGCAGGGCTGACGTCCCGGGGTAAGGCAAGGACGGGGGACGCCGGTCTGGCCCCCGCAAAGCCCCGAGACGCCCTTCCAGGCAGAGAGCGCAGACGCGGGGCAGAAGGGAGCCAGCCCCAGTACCCGGAGTGCGCTCACCTCTCGCCGCCCGCGGGGCTGTTTTGTCTTCTCTGGTTTTCCCTTTTTTTTTTTTTTTTGTGAAAGTGTCCACGTTGCTAGCCTGGACACCGTCTTCCCATCTCACCTCCCTCTCCGCTCTTCCCCGCCCAATACAAACAGCCCCGTGGGCCAGGACCTTCGCCCCGCGATGGTGCGTTTGCTGCCTAAAGTGGCACATACTCATGAGGTGAGTTCACTAGGACTCAGATTTTAGGACTCAGAAGATTTTCTCCAGCCGGGCCCCAGGAAGCTGGCGTCCATCTAGCTGACTCTTGGTCCTGCGAATATTCCGAACACCCTGCAGGATCGAGGGCCTCAGCGCCGGCTCGCGGTGAAGGGCGAGGGCAGGTGGCCGCGAGGGAGGGCAGGTGGCGGCGAGGGAGGGCAGGTGGCGGCCCGGGCCAGTGCGGGTGGGAGTCGGAGTAAGGAAGCCCCAGCCGTCCGTGCGTCCTCCGATTCGATCTCTAAAATCCCTTGTAAATAATTAGACGCCAAGAACACTCTGAACAGAAGAGAAGACGCAGGGCTGACTATTACGTAAGAGCCGTTTCAAAACGCGAAGCGCGTTGTGCTCCCGCGTCACCCGCTGCTCTTTCCCGGCCCCCACGAACTGACAAACGCTGTAACCAGGAGCCAGACGGCAGGTGGGGAGCGGGAACCCGGGTCCTGCCCAGCTGCCCCGTGCCGGCGCCCGTGCGTGTCCGTCACGGGGCCCCAGGGGCGCTGCGCCCCCGACACCGCCTCTCAGAGGCCAGGCCCCCGCGGACCCAGGGGGCTGAGCGGCACTCGGGGACCGAGCGGAGGCTGTGACAGGAGCACGAGGGGGGCCGGCCACCCAGGCGCTGCACCCCTCGCTGACCGGCTCCGCGTGGCTCGTCCAGGCCCCTCCTGCTCATGACCCCAAACCACGCTGACTGCGCGGCGGGACCCGAGGTGTCCCGGGCCCAGTCACTTCCCAGCGTCCAGGCTCCACTGGCGTCTTCCCGCCCCGAGGATTTCCCCAAGGCCAGTGCCCCGCCCAGCGCTGAGCACATCTACGATGCCTGACGGCACCTGGGGCCCGGATGATGTGGTTTCGTTAACGTCACGCACGGTACCACCGAGAAGCCCCGCTAGGGCTGAGAAACGTCCAAGGACTGGCTTCCTCCCGTTTCGCTTTAAGTTGTTCTCCAAGAAGCCACCCACCACCTTCAGGGGGGACGGATGTCTCTGGGTGGACACTCGTCGCAGGGCCAGGCTGCCAGTGGCCTCTCAGAGTAGGGAGCACATCGCAACATCAAGTCAAATATGACGTCAGAGAGGAAAACCCACAGGGAGGCTGTGGAAGGCAGCACCCAGCGCTGGCACCCAGGCCGGGCCATGCATCTTCTCAAGGGAATGCTCCTTGAAAATGCAGAGGGTGACGAGTTCGCAGACTATTTGTCTCAGAAAGTTGGCGGGAGTCGCCAGCTGGAAGGCTCAGGTGCTCTGATGGAGCCTGCACAAGCCGCGCCCAGACCGGCGGTGGGTGCAGCAACATCACTGCGCCATGCAGCGCGAGACCCATGTTGGCACTGCCCAGACGGCGCCCTCAGCCAGGCAGTATCCAGGCCCCTTCTGCCTGCCAGCGCGAGGTCTGGCTCCTCCTCCTTTTCTGGGGCTGTGACTTTCCACACAAGCTTATTCCCCTCCAAGCCCATCTTGATTTTGGTGAAGGAGCGTGGATGAGGATCAGATTTCACAGTCATTTTTGGAGATATTTTTCAATGACTTTAAAGGTAGAAACACATGCTGGGATATGTCAGAATCTTAGAGTCCAGTTGAGTAAATGACCAATAACTCGAGTAAATACATACGGCATGGCCCATGACGCACCAGTAAAAATTAAACAAGAGTCCAGGCTTTCGCAGCTTACGTAAAACAAGATAAATTCTCTTCCTTACTGTCAGTACACACATCACTATCTATTCCACTTCTTATCTCTAAATATTTGCCCATAAGAATGTGTTTATTTAGTTAAATAATTGCTTAACAGAATTTCCTGTTAAAAGTTGTTAAAAAAATAATGTATCGCAACTCAAACACTGAGATAAAAGTCACATCTGAGTATCTGATGTATTTTATTGGTTCACATTTATCCTATCTGAGGTTAACACTACTTCGACAGCTTAAAATCATTCTGTAAACAAAATAAAAAAAAAAAACAGCAGCAAAAGCTAAGATAAGAACACAATGGATAATAAAATAAAGGGATGTGTTGAAAGGAATATTCTGAAAAAGCGAAGAAAACATGACCATGATTACGAATTCAAGGAAAAGACAAACACACCATCAACATTTGTAAAAGATAAAATGAAAATAGTAATTAAAAAAAGCAGGAATTCAAAGTGCAGGTGCGCTATTCCCGTTTCACATCCATTCGGGAATCAGAGAGAACAGACTAGTTTTCATAGAAAGTGACAGGTTCTGCTTAAAACACCCAGTTATCTTGCAGGCTTTTTTCTTCTTTTCAGTTTACACAACCTCTACATTGATTTGACTGGAACAATGTTCAGATGTGGTATATAGTAAGATTTCGTGACTCTACAGAGAGTATGGAAATGGTAAAGTTTATGGGTTTATTTTTTGCTTTATTTGCAGTAACAAGAAGCTGAGAATCCATGTCAGAAGCATCTTTAAAAAAAAAAAAATCCCGAGCCTCCTTTTCACTTCTGTTGCCACATTGAGAGTGTGATAGAACATGGTTTCCACTGAATTCTGGTGGCTGATACAAATCATTGGAACAGTTTTGAATGCAAAATGGGCCTGGCCTTTGTCCGAATCGGTCGGTGAAAGTGTGGTTCTGGCATCGCATAAAAATCACCTTGCCCTCTTAATCGTTTAGGACTCTGACGGTCCCCCCCTTAAAGGGGGACATCTGGTTAATGATTTCTGAATAGAGGAATTTATGAAATATTTTTCAAATCTTAAAAAATATTTCCCATGCTCCTTAAAGTGGTGCAGGAGTTACCACAGCGGAGGTGGCCTTTCCCACGTGGGGACATTGCTGGGCCTGTGGCCTCTGGCTTCCCTGCAGTTGATCGACAAAGCCCCAACACTGCAGGCTGCGGCCTTGCCCAGCGGAGCACTACGTTTTACAGCCTGTCTAAGGCCCACAGCCAGCTTCAGGCGCCCGATGCCACGTGTCGGGAGGGCCACCTGGCTTTGGAGCCGGGAGTGAACGCTATGCCGGAGGGCCCCTGCCCCACGGGGTGTTTAACTGTTTCTCCGACAGTTTTCATTGCATTATATTATGAAAACACTGGGCTTCAAGCCGAATACTAATAAATATTTAATTTAAAAGAAAGACCCCCGCGCCCCCCACCCCCAAGAACATAAAAAAGGCCCCGCCCCGCGCCGGGCGGCTCAGCCCGACAGGGCGGAGATCTCGCAGTCACTGGCGGAGGCCAGGGGCTTGCCCATCATGCGGACGTTCTTCGCACTGGTGATGCGGGCCATCATACACACCGGCTTGTCGAAGTACTTGACCAGGGCGGGCTCGGTCAGGAGCGAGGCCAGGAACTGCTCGAAGGTGATGGCCCAGTCCCGGTCCAGGCTGGTGCTGCGGGGCAGCGCAGAGGTGCCCTGGCCGCTGCGCACCAGCACCGTGTCCTCCCCGATGTCCTCACACTGCAGCTTGTCCTCCTCGTGGGAGCCGGCGCTCAGCACCGAGTAGGAGGACATGGAGCTGTCGTCTTTCGTGTCGTCGTCGGAGATGAGCATGGACGAGCAGGCCCCGTTATCCCGGGGTGAGGAGTCCTCCAGCTTAATGTCCTCCATCTGTCCCCCGAGGGAGGGCTCGTCACCCTCGCCCGCCAGGCCGGCCGCCAGGGCCTCCACCGGCTCCACCGTGAAGGGCTGGCCTGGCCCCTTCTTGGGGAAGAGCATGCCGGGCAGGGCCTGCTGGCAGGACGGCCCCCCGCTCTCCTTGGCCGGCTGGGGGGCGAAGAGCTTGCCCACTTCTCCGATCTCCAGCAGGAGGCTGGTCACCGCGGCAGTGGCGTGGTACAGCTCTTGCTCGTTGGGGTCCTCGCTGAACATGTTATACATGGTCTTGCACAGTTCGATAAACTGCCCCTGAGGACACAAAGAACGTGACCTTGGCTGGGGAGCACAGAGGTGGGAGAAGCGGACCTTAAACCATGTGATTTATTCCTCAATAAATTGAAAGTAAACATTCCACAAGATCCAGTTATCCCATTTCTGAGTATTTAGCCAGAAAATACAAAAATACTAATTTGAGGATATTTGCACCCTCATTTTCATCGCAGCACCATCTACAGTAGCCAAGAACTGGAGACAACCTAAGTGCTCATGGACAGATGAGTGGATAAGATGGACGTGGTATATATATATATATATACACACAGTGGAATATGACTCAGCCATGAAAAAGATGAAACCCTGCCATTTTCAGCAACACGGGTGGGCCTGGAGGGATGATGTTTAGTAACAGAAACCAGGCAGAGAACTCACTATATAATTTTGCTTCTAGGAGCTACGGAAACAAAGAGATGAACTAAATGAAACAAAAACAAACTTTTGGGCTGTATGAACAATTACTGGTGAATTGGGGGCAGGGGAGTGTGGGTAAAATGGGAAAAAGTGAATAATGGCATGGTGAAGGATAGATTCGAACTTTTTACTGAACTTAATGTTTTTGTACATCTCAATGAGCACCTATAACATATAACGATAGACTGCTATGTTAATTCCATTAAAAACCAAATATCAGGGCTCCTAAAAGATCCCCCAATGTAGCTTGGGTTGATGTGATCTTTTAAGTCTCTTATTGAGGTTTCCACTTGAAAATTCTCTAACATCCATGCAAGCAGAAAGAATGAAATCCTTAGGTACCCAGCACTTCCAATTAAGGCTGTGCCTTCACTCACTGTTTGAGCCTTTGCTGAGAGCTCTCCGTCAGCCCCAGGCCTCCCCCAGGGTCCGCCCCACACCCCGGCTCACTCTGCCAGCTCTGCTCCACACCCCTCTTCAAGACGTGGGCCTGCATCGCTGGATAGAGGCCTCCTCTCTCCCACCACCCAGTCAGGTCAGCAGTTCCTGGTAGGAGACCAGACCCTTCATCCTGGTAACATGATTTTGTTTTCCCTCCCTTGTTACCTTTCCAGCTCTCTCAGGGAAAAAAATAGGCCAGGTGTGTTTACAGCTGAGCCCTGTGCCTTCACAACATCCCACACATCTTTTAGTTCCCAATCATTTAATGATGAGGACGAGACGTGTGTGCTCCCCAAATTGAGTAATTCCTGGGTGCCAATTTCTTTGAGGAGGCCAAGTCCTTACAGTGAAGCGCATTTTTGATCTACAAAAACCTGGTAAAATCAATCCAAGCAGCTAAGCCACCATTCCCTGTGAGGCACTCCGCTCATCTCAGCCTGCGAAACAGACCCTCAAGGTTTGAAGCGAAGGAACTGGACCGTTCAGCACTTGCCTGATTCAATTTGGGTAAATCCTTTGCATTCTTTGATTTAGATTTATTTTCTGGCGTCCAGAGTCTCAGATAATTGCGATTTTCTTGAGAATTGGCTCTCTTCCCTAAAACCCAAATGTCAAGAATTAAAGCTCAAGTGGCAAAGGTTGAAAAACACGCATGGAGCCAACAGGGAAGCAAACAGAGCGCAAAGCTGTACCTCTGTCCGGCTTCAGGCTGACGGTGACAAAGCCGTCGTCTGCCCCGTGCCTGCTCCTGCTGTCCAGTCCGACCACTGCCAGAAACAGCCAGGAGGAGGAGGAAAATGCTTTATGACATTGCCAGGCACTGAGCTCTGGTGGCAGAAAAACTGCCTCTGGGTAAAGCTGCCTAATGTGACAGGACACACGGAGGCCGAGAGCCCGGCACGGGGAGTTCACCTCAGAGCTGAGGTGAGCAAGTGATTTTTTGAGCTGTGCGTGTGCCCCAAAGATGGCCCGGAATGTACTTCTTTCTGACATCAGATGTTACTAGCTGTCGCTGCTTTATCTGACAACCCTATCTCTGGGGGAAGGGCACCCCTCCCCCAATTCTTGTCCAGGAGTGGGGCTCAGGGTGCACTGGGGGCCCTCAGGGCTGTCGCAGGGCGCTGCCTGGTCTCCCTCCCTTCTCCGCCGTGTTTCCATCTTCACCTTGACGCAGGCAGTCGATTCTCCGCCAGGCGAGCGCCGTGTACAGCCACCTACCGTGTGTGCACTCCGGGGTGATGTCTTCAAAGAAGTACTGAGTTGCTTCGAAGGCGGAATCTGGCTCATCTTGGTCAGAGGAGGGCTCTAGAGAGAGGAGGGAAGGTCACCCTGCGGCCAGGAAGGTGATGGCGGCACCCGTCCGGAAGGCAGTGCATACCCGGAGCGGCACTGCAGCTTCTCAGGCAGCTGGGGGGCTGGGCAGCACGTGCCTCCTGGCCCCAAAGCAGGTTCACCCCATTTCGAACTACCTTCCTTTCAGTGCCTCCCTCTTTCCTCCCCCCCAGTATGTTCCTTCAAAACCTCATCTTTTGGGATATTCCTATGTTCTGTGAAATGATGACACAATTTTTTGAAAATTGTATGCTGTGAAGATTATTCTCACCTCTATGCATCCACCCACCCACCCATCCCCATCCGTCCATCATCCAGGTTTATCTTATCGCTGCCCTTCCTCATTTTTTTTTTTAAAGATTTATTTATTTGTGCATACAGAACTGGGGTACAGGCCAAAGGCTCAGGGGCGGTGAGAGGCTTCACCAGGGACAGAGCGGGGAACAGAACAGGCAGATCGACAAAGTACACTGCTGAGGGGAGCAGCGGGCGGATCAGGAGAGGTCTGCCGCGCCATGTGGTCACCTCCGGGGCAGGCGGGAACTGAACTCATGTGGAAGTGGCTTTAGTCTCTCAGTACTGTGCTTTAACCCGCTGCACCACCAGGGTGGGCCACCTTCCTCATTTTTTTGATGTTTGCTAGATATATCCCAGCTGGGAGGTCACACTTGTTGAGAACTGGACTTGAAACCGAACCCCCGTCCCCACTTGCTTCTGATGGTGGTAAGTGTCCCCCAGACTCAGCAGCTCAGTCTCCTACACCCTCTCGCACCTCCACGCTGCTCCTCCGGCTGCCAGCGCCACTTAGGGTTCTCCTGCAGGCCTGCTATTCCGCTCACACCTGCCTGACCCAGCCTGCTCCCTGCAGAACCAGCACTGCGCACTCGGGAGTGGCGTGGGCAGTCTTGCTCACTTCGTGCTTCGTGAACGGTTTTGTAAATCAAACAGAGGCTCAAAGGTGCTCCCCAAGGCAGATGTCTCAGGCCCTGCCACGCCAGACACTCACGCTACCTTCGCGCTGCTTACCAGGCAAGACGTGCATCTTGTACAGCAGCTTGAGTTTCTCCGTGAGGTCCCCATGGCAGGCAGCACCTGAAACCAGGTAGCACCAGCATGAATGCATCCTGTGAGCAGCAACCCCTCCCTGAAGAGCCTCCCCCCCCCCCAGCCAACACCAAGACGTGTAGGCAGGCGTGAGCAGTCGCTGTGGGGACGTCAGGTGAAGAGTTCACCCGGCCTGCACAGTAACTGCTCTGCCAACGGTGGGCCAATCACTGGGGGCAAATCCCAGGTCCCAGGGACGAGGGAGCCCGAGGGAGCCCCAGGCACCGTCCCCCATCACATCTTCCATGCACGTGCACCCTGACATTCACAGTAGAGCACCTGTCAGGCGAGCAGCTGCTTCACGGCGTCTGACGTGTCTGGAGACTCTGCCCGCCGCAGCTGGCTATACCTCCCGCTAGTCCCGTGCCACCACCTGCCCGCCGAGTCCCAGAGGGACCTCGAGGGACTGACCCAGGGCCTCCCACTGTCCTCACTGCCCTGCCTCCCTTCCCACTCCTGAGGGTCTGGGAGAGCATCTCCCTTGTTGGAGTAGCTGGAACGGAGTGAAATATATTCATCTCGGCCTGTGTGCAGCCTGTCCCGCATTCTTGTTTTTCCTCTTTATGCTTGTGTGAGAGAGTCGTGGGATGCAGGTGTGGGGTACAGGTGTGGGGTGAAGTGCGGGGAGGGGTGAGGTGCGGCAGTGAGTGTGGCTGGCGTCCGTGCTGCTTGCGTGCTGGATGGGGCTTTCTCCCGGCACAACGCAGAGAGGACTTCCATACAGACTGAAAGAGGGCGGGTTTCCCCCTACCCTTTCTTTAAACATTACGAAATGTTCCTACAAAACGGACTTTTACCAGCGCTGAGGCCCCTGTAACGTAGAGGGCACGATCTAATCGCAGCGGTCACGCGAAACAGTTAACGATCCACCCGCAGACGCTCGCATGCGCCCTCTGCCCAGGAACCCGGCGCGGAGCCCGGGTGCAGGGAGGGCGTTGCGGGTGGGGTGCCCACGCTTCCCTTCAAGCTCATGCAGAAACGCCACGCCCTTACTGAGCCCCGAGACAAACTCTCGGAAGTTGATCAGAGAGTCTCCGTTTTCATCCAGCAGCTGGAACAGGCGGGAGGCCAGCACGTCCGAGTGGGCACCACACGCCCAGGGGAAGAGCAGGGCAAACATGCCCTTGAACTGGTCCAGGTCGACGCGGTACTGCTCCAGGTAGGGCAGGCTGGGGTCGTGGCGCTCCAGCGCGTTGCTGCTCCCGCCCCAGTAGCAGCTGGTCAGATGCTCGGCCTGCAGAACAGGCGGGAGGCGGTCGGGGACTCGCGTGGCAAGGCCCGGGGGGGCCGCCCGCCAGGCCTCTGGGGGCAGCGGCTGGCTACTCCTTGCTCTCTGGGCTTGAGTTTTCCGCCTCGACCCACCTCCCCCACGGAGGGCCCCTCCAGCGAGCCCCTGAGCAGCGGGGCGGCGCGAGGAAGCACCCCAGGGCACGGCTAACGTGGGCAATTACAAGTTGCCAGAACGTCAGGCGGAATTTAGACCCGACTGACACCATTCCAATGGGAGTAGTAAAGGGACGTTTTCCCAGGAAACAGCTGCAAAGACTGGAGTGGGAGAGCGCGCAACGTCGACTCCAATGACCTGCAGCGTTTGTTTCTGCACTGAGCTCTCCACTGTGTGCCTGAGCCCCAGCCTCCTGCTGGGTGTGCTGAGGTAAGCGATTCCTTAACAGCCAGACGAAAACAAAAATTGGATCATTAACCTGAGCTCACCCTCCTGCATCTACACAAACCTACTTCAAAGCTCACCTTGAAAAGGGCGTACAGTTCTTCTAGCTCGTCGATGGAAAAGGAAGTTTCTGTCACAATGGTCCGCACCTGCGGACAGCAAACACGATGCATTTCACAAACTCAGCGGTGCCCGATCAGAAAGTCCCTGATTTTCTTCTTCTTTTCTATCCGTCTGTCCAGTCTGACTGGGGCAGGCGTGGCGGGAGGAGGGCGAGCAGCCGCTCCTCTGGACTCACCACGTTGCGCTTCGTGGTGTCCTCCAGCGTCTGGATCACCTTCAGCCTCTGCTTGAACCGCATGTGCTCGATCAGATCTGCCCGGATGGTTCCAAATTTCTGGAAAGGAGCAAGCGGGCATTTCTGAGGGGTCTGCTATGGCACTCGGGGCGGGGCGGGGCTGCGTCTGCAGGAGCGAGACACAGTGCGGACCCGAGGGCTTCCTGTCACAGGAGCAGGCACCCTGGAGTCACCCGTGTCCTCGCAGGAACTCTGCGTCAAAGCCGCTCAACACCCACAAAACAGGACGCTCGCAGGTGTGCTGGTGGACGGACTACACTCAGCACATGAACGAGTCTCCCACAAATCAACGGTCTCACCCAGAAGACCTGGGCGGGAGGGGCCGGGCGCGCCGGCCGAGCGCCCTGCTCCCCTCCTTTTCTCCACGGCCCCTTCTGTGAAAGTTGGCGAACAAGGAGTAAGAAATGGAGGAAGGGTGATGTTGCGGGCATGGCGTCCTGGCGGCCCATAAGCACACACGGGGCCCGCAGCAACCTGCTGTGCTGGATTCAGGGCTCGACCTGGGCCTGGAGGGCCGGGAGGCGTCCTCCCCCGGCCCTGCTTTACGAGGACCCCCAGGACACTGGCCCTTCCCTAGCACGGCAGACGGGAGCCCTGTGTCTCGGGCAGAAGAGGGCTGTCTTGTCTACTTCGGAGGAGACCCGAGGACCTGGGTGGGGACAGAAGGGGGATCCCCAGGCCCGCTCCCAACAGCCCTCCTAAACCCGCCTGCGTTGACTCTGCTCCTACTTGACCAGGCTACAGAGCGGGCGCCAGCCACGGCCAGCAGGCCAGCGCTCGCCTGCCATCCGCGCGGTGCCTGGCCCAGAGCCTTGGGCCTCACCGAGCGTCCGGCTCTGGACCTGCAGCTGCTCGTCCTGGACACCGTCTCTCAGAAAGCAAGAGCAAGCAGCACCCCGAGAGGTGGCCATGCAGCGCGTGGACGCGGCCGGCCCGAGAGCCCCCCCTCGGCCGGGAAGCGGACCCACCTCGTAGGAGGTTCTGATGAGCCTGAAGATGTCCACCTCGGGGTAGGGCTCCACGTCGTCGCTGAGCAGGGAGTGCAGGTGGGGGATGGGCGGCAGCGTGCTGTCTTTGTTGGTCACGCTGTCCAGATACCTGGAGACCGGGGTGCGGACCGCAGTCACGGAGGCGGGCCTGAGCCCTCCCTGCCGATCCCGGCCAGCTCCTGCCAACCCCGCGCTTTACAACCAAAGGGAGAATTGCCTTCAGATCGGGACGAAAGTCCTTTAGCCTCTAACGATGTGGCACGTGAGACTACATCCCCAGGCTCGCAAGAAGTGGGCATCATCATGCCCACCAGCCCAGGAACCCGCAAGGAAGGTGGGCTGAGCACACGGGGAGACCCCAAAAGGCCTCAGAGGGGGGCTGCGCCCCACCTGCCCAGGACGGTCATGGCCTCCCCGTCGTCCTTGCAGTTCAGCAGCTTGTCCACGTTGGCATCCAGCACGGCCAGAGCCAGCTGGAAAATCACTTTGATTCCTTCATAGAAGAAGCAGTCGACGACCACGACCGCGCTCTCGAAGGGCATCACGCTGAGGAACAGGGTGAGGAACCAGGACAGGGAGATGGTGGAGATGACGCCCAGGTCCTGCATGCAGTCATACAGCTGCGGGACGTGGTCTCGCGCCAGCTCCTCGAACACGCCCTGGTCCACCAGGGCACCTGTGGCACGGGAGGGGGGAGGGGTCAGCCTGCCCCCCACGGGCCTCCCCCCGGGCGCCCCCACGGGCCTCTGCCTTCTCTAGAACTCAGGCCCTGAGCAGGCCCTGGCAGCTGCCTTCCTCCGGGAACAGAGAGCACCAACGCATCCGTGGTCGACTCTGGCAACTGAAAGCTCTGAATCTACAGATGAAAGCCAGAGGCTGCCATCGCCCCCAGCCCCCCTCAAACGATGCCATTTCTGAGATCGGGGCCTTATGGTTCCTTGCTATGTAAACCGAACTCAAACAGCTGCTGGAACAGTCGCGCGGTGAAATCTGCTGACTCCTCACTTGGAGCGTCTCATAAGCTATCTCAGATCACTGAGACGCTCATCTCGGGCGACACCGTGCTTTCCCACTTTGGACAAGTGGGACAGTCTGGAACCCCAGTGGGGACTGGGAGTGGTGTCAGCTGGTATTGGGGCTCCGGAAGCGCGCCCGGCGAGGCGGGCCGTCGGGGGCGGTGCCCCACCTACCCACGACTCTGGTGTTGTAGTAGTCGGGAAGCATGCGCTCGCACAGCGCCACCAGCAGCCAGAAGGCCTCCTCCTCCTTGGCATAGAGCAGCAGCACTGACGTGACAATATTCATGGCCTGAAACAAGTGAAAGAGGAAGTCCCCAAGTCAGCCTTCACTTATAAGACGTGTCCTTAACCCAAACAAGATGGCCGAACTTGCCCCACGGAGGCAGTAAGCTTCTGCAGAAGGGCGGACGGATAAATACAGAAAGGTGTCGCAAGCCACACACACACATCCTCCTGAGTTTTGCCTCGTTTATAATGTTTTAAAGATGGAAAACCTCTTCATTCTGAGCTTGTAACTATTAGGGTCTTCCTGAAGCCCTAGAGTCACCAGGAGCTGAACTCTGCCTCCAGGCTAAGGCTCAAACTTTGCCCACAGACTGTCTGGCAAAGCTTTTAACCTGCCTGAAACTGGATGTTTTAATCCTCAACTCAGTGAAGTAAATCTTTTCTTTTTAACCCTCCACTATGTTTCTCTAACCAAATACCTGTGGCTTGAGGCTCATTCAGAGGACAAAGAGGCCTTTCAAAGGTGGACCCAGCACCCACGACTGCATCTGGAGGAGAATAGCGTGATGGTAACAGTGACTGAACTTCTAACGTGACTACTTTATTAAACGATAATATCAGCTAGCTCCTAACCACTCAAGGCTCAACTACTTCAACAGTCCTCTTAATTAAAAAGATGAAGATCAAAAGATGAAAGTGAACACCACTATTGTAGAAGCCAACTAGCTCCTGGACTTTGTTTGATATTGTAGGAACAGTAACTGTTCATCAGACGTCTACAATAATAAATGTCAACCAAGAACTTTGCGCTAATAGGTGCCTTCTACGTCTGACTTGGTATTTTCCCAAGTGAAGTCATTAAAGTCCCACTTGCGGAGAAGCCTGCTGGCTCTAGCTGGTGCTGATGGTCACAGGCCGCTGCTTAGTCATTCCACAAGGCCAGTTCTGACCACCTGTAACAGGACTCAACGGAGGGGGACCCCCGGGGACAAGTATCATAGGATTTAGATGCTGGTGCCGGAGAGGGAGAATGAGGATGTAAAGATTAATTTATCGATTTGGGGGTATATTTAACTAAGTGCTAACAAATAGATAAAAGTTACAGGTGGTAGGCCCTCCCTGGTGGCGCAGCGGGTTAAAGCACAGCACTGAGAATCTAAAACCGCTTCCGCATGAGTTCGATTCCCGCCTGCCCCGGAGGTGACCACATGGCGCGGCAGACCTCTCCTGACCCGCCCGCT